CAAAAAGGGTCTCTTCCCCTCACTGAGGGAAATGTGGGGTGGTGAACGGTACCAAGAAACTTTATCGCTGGTCCAGGTGGCATCCTGGGCTTCCCACTCTGCATGGCCTCTTATCCTCTTCCAAGAAGAGGTGATCAACCAGGTGCTGGTTTGAGGTGTGGAAAGAGATTCCCCACCCTGTGACCAAGGGGAACTGTGGGCTTTGGGTTTCTGTTCACTGAGCTTCTGTTTATTGAGCGGTTACTATGTACCAGACACTGTACTAAGCAGTTCCCTAACAGTAGCTTATTTAGCCCCCATAATTTAGACCCTGTGAAACAGATACTACCATTATTTCTGTTTTACAAGAACCTAGTCCTTGGATTTCTTAACGCATATCCCAGACCCTACAACAGATAATTTAGCAGAGTTGGAATTTGGAACAAGGACCATAACGGCAGAGCCAGTGCTCAAGTCCAAACCACTGTCTACTGCCTTGTCGCGTTCATCCCTGAAAAGAAGCAGCTGCATGTCTAGCATGTTAGGCATCCTTCCTGGAATAGGAAATTCCAGGCCTGTTGTTACTCCCAGAAAGAGGAAGAAACGAATATAGAGTATTTTTAAATACCTGGTTCCATTAAGCAAGTTTACTGAGCACTGACGAAGGGGTTCCAGTGGGGTCCAGATTGCCACGTTGCAGGAAGAGGTAAACTACCTTCACAGGGAGGGTCATTTTCCTCGACAAGCCCCGCCCTGGTGACCTCAGTGTGAGTCAGCACCCTCTAATCCAGACACTACCTCCTGCAGTTACAGCTATTTCCTTCATCTGTCCTTGCCTGCTTTATTAGGTGGCAGTGAGGTCTGCAGGCTAATCCAACCAACATGACTTGGCCAAAATGTAATTAAAGTAGGAAATCAGTACTGATCCGGCTAATTTAGACCCCCAATATCCTCCTTTGGCTTAAATTAATCAACAAGTGCTGGGCTGAACTAATTTGCATCTAGTTTGGCATTATATCTGCTTCCTGGGGCTTCGAACAGATACTTTTTGATAAAGTCCTGTGCTCTAGCTTGAATCAAATCAAGGACCCCTTGGGACTTCCCTGGCAGTCCAGTGGTTAAGACTCCGTGCTCCCAGTGCAGGGGGCATGGGTTCTATCCCTGGTCAGGGAACTAAGATCCCGCATGCTGCACGGCGTGGCCAAAATCAACAAAAACAGCAAATCAAGGACCCCTCCTAACACAGAGACCAGTGACAGAAAAGGACCAATTTCACACCTGGCGGGAGAGTTACCAATTCCAGAATACCTAGGAAAAATCTGAAGTGAAGTTTACAAGTGTCTTAGTAATAACCAAAGCACCAGGCAAAGTTCCTGTTATATGACAGCTCGGTAACATTCATATCCCCAGTACTGATGGCTGTTCCAATTTTCACCACTTCCATTTCACTGATAACATTTTGGTTAGCCATTGGAGCCTAAAAAGCAGAATGACAGAGCTAAAAACAGAACTTTGGACTTGGGTTTGAATTGTAAATGTGTCACTTTCTAACAAATTGCGCAAATTTCCTCATCTGTAAAATGGGTAGTATAATAGGTACCTAAGAGCGTTAGAGATGGATGTAGAAGCTCTGGCCCCCGGTGGCATGTTACCTGCTGACTCCTGGGCTCCCAAGCCCACACATTTTCCCTTGAGCAGGAATTGATCTGAAAATCTGGTTAATTGGCCAAATTGCAAATCCTAGGCCAAGGGTTCTCCTCAACTAAGAACCACCTGAGGGGAACCTGTTAAATGCAGGAAAGTGGACTCCACCCCTAGATACTCTTAGTGGGTGTGGGGTGTGGCCTATGAGCTTACATTTTAATATCCCAGGTGATATTGGTACCAGGGGTGGATTTTGAGAAGCACTTCAACATGCTAAGAAAATCTAATTGTAATAGAGGAGCCAAAGAAGCACATCTGGGTCCCTTCTGTGAACAATGAGTCAAAGGATCTGAAACATCCTGTCTTCCAAGAGACGAGGGAGGCCAGCAGGATCTGGCAGGTTTGTACTGTTGGTTGTTTTAAACCCTAGTAAGAATTCAGTGTGACCAGTTTTGTTTTTTTTTTAATTTATTTTTGGCTGCGTTGGGTCTTCATTGCTGCGTGCCGGCTTTCTCCAGTTGTGACAAGTAGGGGCTACTCTTCGTGGCGGTGCATGGGCTTCTCATTGCGGTGGCTTGTTGCAGAGCACAGGCTCCAGGTGCACAGGCTTCAGTAGTTGTGGCACACGGGCTCAGTAGTTGTGGCTCGTGGGCTCTAGAGTGCAGTCTCAGTAGTTGTGGCACACGGGCTTAGCTGCTCCACGGCATGTGGGATCTTCCCGAACCAGGGCTTGAACCCGTGTCCCCTGCATTGGCAGGCGGATTCTTAACCACTGGGCCACCAGGGAAGCTCTCAACGTGACCAGTCTTGCCTAGCCTAGAACCTTATACGAGGTAACCCAGAGGAGGAAAAATGGGGCAAAAACAAACATCCAGGTGGCCGGGGCAGCTAAGTTAGAAACAGCTGTGGTGTTCGTGCTGGATGCGTAGCCACGGATGGCTCCTGGTGTCCGGGATGGGAAGAACAGCCAGGTGAGCCAGGATGGCCTACACTGGACCAGAGCGGGGTAGGGTCCTCTCTGATTTCATGGGCCTCTCCTGGCTCTGATACCAGCGGCTCCTGAAATCCTCCCTTTAACAGGGTCAGTGACCCCTCTGTGACTCTTTCTGCTCACACACAGGTGTTCCCTAAGCCGGCAGCCACCTGCACAGCATCTCTTTCTCCTTTGTACAGTTTGAATAAACACCATTTTATAGCTGATCAACGCCCCAGCCCCTTCAAGACTCCTTTCCAGCCCCCTTTTCTTTAGTTTCTCTCACCTGTGGCCTGACGTGGTAGCAATTTAGCATGTCACTTGGATTAAAAATGGGGCTGGTTAAGTTCAGTCTGGGTAATAGACAAAGCATTAGGTATAGATTAAATTTAGACAGTGTGTTTAAGTGTCAAGGTAAATTATATTAGAAAGGAGGGGAATTAGCCGTTTCCTGTGAAAACAGACTCTGGGATATCTCTATCTTGTTATTTATTTTTTTAAAGTTTCAGCTAAAACATAATTAAAACATTCCTGTGCTAATCGTATTGAATTCCCCAGACAAGAGACAGGGAAGGGAACTTGGCTCCCACCTAGTGACCCGAGATCCTGGCCTCTCTGACCCTGTAATATTCTACTTGCCCCAGAGTGCTGTTAGACGGTGATCCCGGACCAGACTAATAAACCTCCCTCTAGGTGTGATGTAATTGGAAATATCTGGCTTTCTGAGTTTCTCCAGGTAGTGGCTCTGAACACACCTTGTCTCATTGTGCTTCCTGATGTGACTTCCCCAAATGCCAGAAGTGACAGTGGAGTGTGTGGTAAGGGTACCAACTAAGGTAGGACTCTCTCATAGGTGTAGTTCTTGGGACAACTCTGCATCGGATCCCCTTGCAGCAAGTTGCTTGGGGAAGTGGGGTCACTTCCTCTGGTGTAAATGCACTTGATCTATCTGACCAAAGGACTTGGAGTGAATGTGCCCCTAAGGTCCTGCTAGCTCTTCCCTGCCTCCCAGGTAACCCTTTACGAGTTTGAGTAAAGATAACCAAGTAAAGATAACCTAACTGATGTTTAGTCTAAACTAAACTCTGCACCCTGGACCTCTGCCTGCCCAGCAGGGTTAGGTAATCACAAACGCAGTCCAGGGGAGCTTGGCTTAGACTGTAAGCAAGGGCTCCCTACACCCCTCTGCTCTGCTGGGGCTCCAAATTCTTCATCAGACAGAATTTGAAAATAAAGTGCTTTATTGCTGAGGTTCCCAGAGAGTTTCAGGGCAGCTGCCTAGGGGCTAGGACTGAAGTTCCCTACTTTTGGAGGCTTTTATGAACAGAGACAGTTGGGATATCAGCATTTCAACCCCGCAGAAGACAAGAGAGTGTGGCTGCAGAGAGAAGGGGGAGATGGGGGGTGAGGGGAGGCAGGGAAGAGGCACGAGGTGTGCTGGGACAGCTGATCATATGCATCTCTTCTCAACTCTGAGCTCAGTGTATTCAGTGACATCACCTTGGGAGCCTGAAGTGGGCCACAGTGGGAAGGTTTACACCACAGAAATTGCCCAAATGCTACAAATTGGGGCTGTCCCCCTGCCACCCCCCGGAAGAGCTGATTTACCAGCTCACCCTGCACGTGACCCATCCTTCTGGGCTGGTTCTGAACCCACCCCAAGCCTGGCTGCTGTGCTCCTTCAGGGCACTGTGATCTCCCAGCCCCACACATTCCTACAACCTGGACAGAACAGAGGTGAGCTGGACAAAGAAAGGGACCAGAATTCATTGATCCGTTCTGCACCTGGATCCTGCCTTGTCTTGGCTGCCACAGCCTGTCTATCCACTTACGGTCCCACTGATGGCCTTCAGCCCTAGACTAAAGTGGTGTCCAACAAAAGGCCGCTCGGGGCTGAGGTTAACTCTCCCAGCAGGGGTGGGCAAGCAGGCCACGTGCAACCGCTCAGCGCTAAGGAGGGCTGCTGGCCCAGGGCTGGCTGGCCGCTGGCCCACGGGCCGGGACAACGAGACTGGCCCTCACGGCTGGGGCTCTAAGTGACTCACCACAGGTCCTGGGAACCAGGGTGTGTGGAGAGCCGGGCGCACACCTGAGCACAGAGGGAGAGGGAGGACAATGGGTGTCCAGGACGCGACAGCGCCTCCCAGCGGGCAAGAGGTAAGGCCGCCACAGATATGCATCTCGGGGCAGCCCCGGGGGCCTTGGGAGCTGAGCTTCCTCCTCTCACCCTGGGCCTTACACACGCTTCAACCTTCTCCCCACCCCAACACCGACACCTGGGGTGTTGACCTCCCCGCCTCAGGTTCAAAGGCAGAGGGCTCGAGGCACCAGACTGGCCTCACCAGATCTGGGCCAGGCAGGGTGAGCAGCCCGCGAGGAAAGTTCTCCAGCACAGCAGCCCTCATTAGAACTCCTTGGCCTCCTGCAACTGCGCCAGGTATTCCTCCTCAGGGGGGTTGTCCGTGCAGGCCCGGCCATTGTTCGGGGGCCGCACAGCGTGGTAGCGGCTCCAGTCCCCCTTACACAGGATCCAGGGCAGTGTGTCCACCTTGAAGTGCAGCTCGGGTGAGAAGTCGGTGCTGACGAGATCGGGCGCGCCGGCGCCCTTGCCTCGGGTCAGCAGCCTGCTGCCCGCGTCGTAGCAGCAGTGCTGGGCGGCCAGCGTGCTGCTCTCCCCGGACAGCAGAGAGCGCAGGCAGAAGCGGGCTGTGGGCTGGTACACGTCCAGGCGCTCACGTGGGCCGCTGGCATCCCTCCACCGGAAGCTGCGGCCCTGGTGCTCATCCTGCAGGCTCACAGCGCTGGACATGGCCTCCAGTGGGTATGCACACGGGCAGCTGGGCAGGTCCCGCAGCACCTGGCTCAGGTACTTGGCTAGGAAGTCACTCTTGCAGTTCAGCCACTTCTCACAGCTGTCCACATCTGCAGAGGGCAGGGGAGCGTGGGAAGGGGACCGGTCAGCCCCTGGGGTGGGGGGGACTGGTCAAGGGCCAATGCACGGAGGGGGAAGGCCTAGGCCCCAGCTGGTGCAAAGCTGTGGCTTGGTAGGGCCATAGGGGCAGGAGGGGAAGGACCCACACCAGAGCGGGGGGCAGTCTGACGTGGCTGCCGCTGTTAACAGATAAGGGCAACCACACACCACCCAGGCAAGCTGAAGCAACAGGCCGTGGCCGAATGGACGTCGGCCAAGGGGCTGAAGGAGGGGCCTACAGGCCCTCTGCGGAGCTAGGCCTTGTCCCTTTAGATGCTGGATGGCGGGAAATGTCCTGGGATCGTGGGGAATGAGCTGGGGTGGGTGGGGGCAGGGACAGCAGTTTTAGCCTCCTGGTAAGAAAATGTTTCACTGTTTTCACCACTGGCCCATTCTTGTTCTTAACTTTGCCTTTCTCAGGCTCACTCTGTCTTTCTGGGCCCCCTGTGACCCCCTCTGTCTATGCTGCCCTCCCCCGCTCTCCCTACCTTGGAAAATGTGGCCTCTGACCCTGGCCACCCAGAACAAACTGCTCCTCCCTCTTTGCTGCAGACCCCTGGGCCCACTTGGCAGTGCTGTACCTAAGTTGGTTGTGTGTGTCTTTCCCCCGAAGACCTGAGACCCCTGAGGGCAGGGACTGGGCTTGGTCTTCTGGGAATCCCCTGCCCCACACAGGGCCGGGTGCACCCTCCCGGCTCAGTGAGCTTCTGCGGCGTTAAGCATAGGACCCATCTGCAAGGGGGCTGTCGGCAGCTGCCTGACTCCTTGTGGGGTGCAAGAGACACAGATGTGGAGTGTGCTGGGGAAAGCGCGGCCCGATCCAAGCTGCCGGAAGGAGCAGTCCTGGAGCTCTGGACCCTGACCTGTTTTTGAGGGCAACTGCTCCCCAGACAGAGCCTGCCAGGAGCCTCCAAGAGTGACCAGGGAGTGGAAGCCGGAATGTCCCCATCCTATCCTGCTGCCAGGGAGCGTACGCCCCACTAGGTGATCTCCACGCTCTGGGCTCCCCTCAAGACCTTATTCCCAGCAGG